GAGGTCTTGCTTCCGCTATTACAAGCAGTAAATACTGAGCAGAAGCCTCTTTTACAAGTTCCGTCTACTTCTCAGACCGTTCAGGAAGAGCGTCAAGCTGAAAGAATGGCAAATAATATTATGGGAAAAGAAACATTGTCAGATAATGACCACTCAGGAGGCGGACATACTTTGAATCATGCTATTAAGGCATATGCGCAATATCATTCAGTTGAAAAAAAAAATAGACAAATATATTGGCCTAAGCCCTTAGAGATAAATTTTTTACAAATAAAGGATGCTGATGATGTTGCGACTATTTATTGTAAAATAGGAAGTTTAGTAATACCTTGCGCAATGATTGATACTGGTTCTGATTCTTCTATATTTTTGGATAACATTGCTGAACTTGTCGAAGAGCTTTTAGGAATTAAAATTAATAGGAAAAAAATTCATAAGCTTAATGGGATCGCAAGTCAATCCATATCCATTGGCACTATGGATAATGTTTCCATAACAATTGGTTCTGGAGAAAATACAGCCTCTATAATAGATGAATTTTCTATTGTGCCTGCGGAAAAAGATGAGAATGGAAATGATAAATCTTTAGTAATTCTTGGAACACAATGGCAATATCGGGCTAGATAGGAGCCTTTAATAAAAGGAGAATTTAAGGCCACATGTAACGGAAAAACTATTATCATCCCCCTATCAGTTCACAAGTCCCAGCGTAATGTTTTTACTGTAGGGAAGGAGGATCCCAAAGGGATCATTTCTATAGAGTCAAAAAAAAATTAGCAGACCGTACATGCCAGTACTGTGAAAAGGAATTTAGATATCCATCTGTTCTTAAGCGCCATCTAAGATTAAAAAATATATGCAGTAAACAGACTAGTCAAGCAACTGATCAGATTAGTCTAACAAGTGATCAGGTTAGTCTAGCAAGTGAGCGGGTTAGTTCAACGAGTGATCAGATTAGTTCTGCAAGTGATCAGATTAGTGATCAGTTTAATAAAAAAAATACTGTACCTATTCAGCTAATATTAGCTTAAACTACTTTTTTTTCGCACACTTATTATTTCTAGTAAAATGTTCTTTAAGACGGGATGGATATTTAAACATTTTACCACAATATATACATGTACAGTCAAATAAATAATCTGGTTCTTCATCTGCTATATAATATTCTTCATCAGAACTTAGCTCTTCACAATGTTTATCAGTTTTACTAGATATAGACTGATTAAGCCTTTTAATCTCTTTTTTAAGATCGGAAACTTGCTTTCTTAGAGAAATGATCTCAGCTTGCATTTCAGTTATTTTACGCATGTATGTATTTTCATATTGCAAATCAGCAACTTGACGCTGTAGTCTATGATTTTCAGATTCCATAATAGAAAAGTTTTATATAATATACCGTTGGTTCAAATAAGTTTTTTGAATAATAATGAGGTTAAAATTAGCTTAGAAATTATTTTTTGCATTTTCCTGTCGAAAAAATCTACATATTTTAAAGATAAGCTTTATTGGTATAATGGCCGAACTACGTGATCAAGTTTCCCAATACATAGGCTTCAAGCCTAGCGAAATTCATCTTCCGATCACAGAAGAGGATAGGCAGTTATTTCGAAAAATAATATCAGAACAGGGTGGGATGGAAGATATAGTAATGGATGACTACCGATTTTTGTTACGACATGGGCATAATGGTAAGGGCGGTGACCAGATCCATATTGGCTGATTATTAGCATGTACAGTATCTCAGGCCGAAAAAGTCTTAATAAATCCGCCTAAAAATTTACCAAAAATGATATTAGCCCGCATTCAAAAAAGGTTCGAGAAAGTCCCACTAGCGCTAGTACTCATACGGTAGATAATTAGGTGTTATCTCTGGCCTATCTGGTAGCTTTGGTACCTATTCAATTAAGCCTTGCCTAGACACGCATTCGGAAAGTATATTTTTTTCGGATACTTATATCATTCTTTGCATCTTCTCGCTTTCCAGTCCATAATTTAGTATTGTGGTGAGAAAAGTATGAACTTGGTTCTATTGTCGCATCTCTTCCAGCACTAGGATTAAAAGAATATATCCGATCATTGAGAGCAATAATCTTTAGGTCTTTAGCAAAGATGACATCTTCTAACTCCCTATACTTTCGCTCAACTGACTTTTTTATATCCTTCTTATCATTTTTAAGTTGGGAGATAGTAGCAGACAACTTGCCAATCTCCTTATCTTTTACGACTATAGATTTCTCTAAAGTTGTAATCTGAGATTTATATTGCCTCTCCAAGTCATCTGAGCGAGATTTATGCTGACCTTCTAGTTGATGCTTAAATGAATATAGTTTCTGTTGCATATCTACCATACAATTATTATATTCACTCTCTTTGCGTGCCATAAGAGCATCATATTCTTCTTTTAGACGTTTGCGTTCCTTACCAACCTGGTTCTCAATAGTTTTTTTTATATTGTTTTCCCATTGCTGTACACGAAGCTCACGTTCCTCTAACTGTTTCTCGAATCTATCTAGCCGGGAGAATGTACTAGAACCATCGGAGGTTGTATTTGCTTCAATTTTAATCTTCTGACGATTTTTTTTATTGAAGTATCTATCAACCTCTCTAGTAAGCAATTCCTCAATATCTAAACGAATACCTTTAGCCTATTCTTCAGATAGAGGATTATTTTTGCGGGTTGTTAGGCGTAACCATGCATCTTTTTTCATGGATGGGGGTAATTGGTCAAGCAAACTCTTATAGTATTCGTTGAAATGTGGTTGGCTAGACATGCGCTCGATTAAAAGTAAGTGATATTAGTCTTGGAATATTCCTGAAAAAAAAAAATATTCCAGGCATGCTATATTTTCCTAGAAGTATGAGTATTCTATATGTTTCTGGCAAAACTTTCTGCTTAGAATTGGCTAAAAAATTTGCTGAGACCTAGATTCCAGGAAAAAATACTTAGAATATTCTCAAAAAATTATTTTGTTTAATATATAAAGACGAGATCACAAATTTGCCAAGAAAATTTTTATTAATCTATATACTTGCTTTATTAATAATATAACTTATTAAAAATACATGTATTGAATCACTATTCTATGAATTTTTGGAGGAGTCGAAACCGTTACTGCCATCTCACCAGAACTATGCTCACTATCTCTAGAATAAGAATCATATGCTCCGCGCCTTACGGCTAATATCTTATGAATTGTACATGCAATGGCTATACCGCATTTCTGATGGTTGGTGTTCCCATCAAGAATTTTGGATTTACTAGCATAGAAAGCATTTTCTTCGGAATAAACATGGAAATGCTTTTCTCCTGAAGATCTTTGATCGAGCGATCTATGCAAAAAAAGAAAGGATTAATTTATTGTATTATTATGCTCTGCACCTTACAGCTAATAAATATGTAATATACTATTTTGATAAAGAATCTATAGCCCGAAAAACACGTTGCACATACTTACAATTATTATTCGAATTTGAGAAATCTATACTATTAAGCTTTTCCTCAATAGTAAGATATCCAGATTTATAATAGTCAATTTCTAGCGATTCATATGGATATGCTTTGCCTGCTAATTTACACATGTATCGTCCATATTCTAAACTTCTAACAAAGTTTACATTACCATTGTTGGGGTATTTAACATTACGGTAATATTTAGGATTTGATAGCCACTTTAACATATAAGACCAATCTGAACATTCGACGATTCTATAACCTTTTAGATGTAATTCTATAAAAACAACTATGTATGCCACAATAAGTAATCATTCCCTTAACTGATATTTCTTCTTTTCTACCCAGTCATATGAAACATGATTATTATATAGTCTATTTAGAAAATCTTTAGATACATCTTTTGCTAGAATTTTTCGATCAATATACCATA